GGCGGGGGGGGGGCAGAGGCCTTGGCCCCTTCTCTCTGAAAGGAGAGGCAGCTGGAGAGCTGCTCCTGTCAACACCTGGGGGAGCTGTAGCAGGAGGAAGCCAGTGGGTAGAGCGGCTCTGAGGTCAGGGCACTTAGGAGGAGCTTCTGGGATCTAGTGCCCAAGAGGCTGTGCTTGGGAACCCGGGGATCCGGGTCCGGATTCCAGCCCTGCTTCCTGCCGGTGCCGACCCATCTCCACGTGGAGCTTCCATGTCTAACCCTGCCACATGAGCTAATGAGCTCCATGGCTTTCCGGTTCCCCTGAGGCCATGACTCACTGTCACATCCGAATAAGACCTCTTCCCCTTGGTTTCCTGTATCTCGTTGCTGAAAATGGAGTGATAGGAACACATTGAGCATGTTCTGTGGCACTTGGACATGTGAGATACAAATGGCTGGTGGTAGCCATCCTTGTCCTGGACCAGGTCTCACTGCTTCCCCCGAAGCCTGCTGGCAGCTTCTGCTTGGAAGTGGGGTGTTTCTCAGCTACCCCCTCAGCCAGGTGTAGGAGGTGGGAGGAGGCGGCCCACGTGGTCGGCCCGGCTGCTCTCACCTCTCAGACAAGCTGGAGGCTCCTGCCCTTTAACAGCTTCCTCAGTGAGGAGCAGGTGTCGTATCCGTATCCCGCCCTCCTTCCCCTTCATTCAGTCCATTGGGAGCCCCCACTGTGTGCCAGGCGCTCTTCTGGGCCCTGGCGATACACAATGAGCCAAACTAGACGAAAATCCCTGCTCTCGGGGAGCTTACATTCCAGTGAGGGAGACAGGCAGTAAACAACACTAGTGAGTAAAGGAGGTAACACCCAAGATGGTGTTGCACCATCAGCTTAGCACGTGTCTCGGATGACAAATATCCAATAAAAGATAGTGAGACTAAAGATAGTTATTGGGTAGGGACGAGTGTTCAGAGTAGATAAGGGAGGTGTAACTGGCGAGTGGTATTGGAGCAGAGACCTAAAGGAAGAAGGAAATGCGCTCCATCTGGGACAAGTTCCAAGCAGGGAAGCAGCATGTGCAAAGGCCCTGAGGCAGGAGCGTGCCTGGCATGTTCTAGGAAGAGCAAGGGATCTGCCACCCTCCCCGTAGTCCCTGTGGTAGGAGAGGGTGTCAGGAAGAAACAGAGCAGAGGGGAGTCAGGTTGAGTGCAGCTTTGTGGGCCATTGTAAACGCATTGCCTTTTGCTCTAAGGTAAGTAGGGTTTGATACCTTAGGATGTTACGATCTGGCTTCAGGATTCCTTGGTTGCTGTGTTGTGAAGAGACTGAGTTGGATCAAGGGCAGAAGTGGAGAGGCCAGCGAGGAGACTCCTACACTAGTCCAAGGAGGAAGTGGTGGCGGCTTAGATGAGGGTCACAGTCAAGTGATGGGAACTGACTAAAGGTCAACAGAAGCTGCTGGCAGACTGATCGTGATCGTCGGTCTGCTCTCTGTTGGTTAGAACAGGGGACAGGAAGGGGGCATCTCGGGCTTCGCAGGCGTCCAGCAGTAGCCACAGCACCGTTAATGCTACAGACCAGCCAGGTTAGGAGTGTTTCGGGGTGCACCTGGGAACACTAGATTCACCTCTGGGCCATCCCTTCTCCAGAACAAAGCGGTTTGCAGACCAGCATTTGGAGCCCGTTGGCGAACTGGAGGCTGCTGGTGTGGGTGTGACTGAGCACGTGGGAGTGGTGGAAGGTCTGCACGAGCAGCTCTGCTCTGCGCTGTACCGCGTGGTTTATTCTCAGACTCCCACGCAGGACGGAGAGGCCACAGCTGCCACAGGCTGCATGACCCTCAGCAGCCTCAGTATGAAAATTCATGGTCCAAGCGATTCTAGCCAAAACCTCAGGGTTGTTTCTGATTGGCCCACCCTGGTCCTCTGCCCTCCCCAGAACAGATCTCCGTGGCCGAGCAGACGAAACCAGGCTGCCCCAGCGTGCATGCTGACTGCAGGCTGCTCGTGGGAAGCGACTGTGAAATGGACTGAAGAGAGGTTTTAGAGCCTTCCACTCAAGATGTGCTTTTCTCATTAGAAAATAACAACTCTTTGCACTTTGTTTATATACACACACACACACACACACACACACACACACACACGTGTCTGAATCTGTTCGTATATTCAGAGCTTGGTTTCAAGGAACCAGAGCTTTAAACATCATCCCATAGACGCAGCCTCTGAGCTTTTCCTGAATTCCTCAGGCTGGTGCACAAGTGAGTGTAAGGAGAACATTCTCAGAGGATGGCAAGCAAAGCTGAACTGGCATTTGGACGGATGAGGGGCTCAGCATGAGAACAGCCAGGGGGACAGGGACCTGTTTCTGTCTTTTTTCTCCCACTGATGTGAAGGAAGGGAGTGTTGGGGGCTCACACAGGAAATCGGTAAATGTGAAGAGCCGTGCTTCCCCTTGGCGGTGCAGTTTTGAAGGGACAGCGACAGCGCGTCTCTTCGCCGTTGGAGGCCCAGTGAGAGCGGGTGGCCGATGAACAGACTTGACATAGCAGGGCACCGAGGCGGATCAAAGCCTCCTGGCCGTGTCCCCCGTGGGCAGGCCTGGCCCCCGGGGGTTGAAACCAGCTCTGCAACCAAGGACTGACCCTGCACAGCTCTTGTTCTGGGTCCTGAGTGCGTTCGCTTAGAGGGGTCGACGCTGCAGTTTCACGGGTTCAGGAAAGAGTAGAAAATGAACGCTGACGTCGCCAAGTTCTGGGCCTCCACGGCACGATGGTGTTAGTGCTTGCGAGTGTCCACCAGTTCTCGGTTAGCGCCAGGCACCGTGCCCAGCCTCTGGGTGGCACCATCTCGTGTGGTTCTTCCCACAGACCTGTGTGGTAGGGATGGTGGCTGTCCCCACTGTGCAGTGTGCGGTGGATGCTGGGAGAAGCGCTGTGTGCAGAGTGTCCGTTCTGCACGGTAGGACACGCAGCTCGTTGACTTAGTAACCTGTCCCCGAGAAGAGCTTCGTGAGGGACAGCGGAGTCCACTTACAGTTGTGAGCGCTGCGAAGGCATTTGTAACTGGGTGGACTTTTCTGTCGTCTCAAGGAACATGCTTTAAGTGTAGCTCTCTCTCTGGTCAGCGGTCCCACCCCTGAAAAGGTTTTGCGTATCTGAAGGCCTACCAGCCAGGAATCTTTTATTGGATATTTGTCATACGAGACACGTGCTCAGCAGATGGCATTCCTACCTGATCCGCATTCAGATTCTAGGGATGCTGGTCTCCACTGGGCATATCAGAAAACGGAGGCTTGGTGACGTGCCCACATCAGAGGATTGCTCTTTGGTGGGTCCTGGATTCGAAGACAGCCAGTTCGACAGCATTGCCACTGCCTTCTTCTTGACGTTGCTCTGCCTGGATGAGGAGTGGGCTGCCCGAAGGCACTGACCTCCTTCCACAGCCTGTCTTTATAGTGCATGTGTTTGCGTGTCTCAAGCTCCTGTGGTTTGGAATTTCTGGAAGAAAACGTCAGAGGACCAACTCTATGTTCGGGTGTTCTAGAAGCTGAGTAGATTTTGATGTTGAGTAATACCACCTGTTTGTTTTATCTTAGTCCCAGCTGTTCCGTGCTGATTCCCCGGATGACAGATTGAGCGTCTCATTGACCATAATGCTAGCCTAGGAAAGAACTTTCCGGAAGGGTAGAGACTCGATAGGGCTGATCGAACTACACAGACTCGGGAACAGAAAACTAGAAGCTCCTAAGTGGGGATTGTAACATCTGACCTAGGTTTGTTAAAGTGTGGAGCTAGAGGAAGCTCGGATCCGAGAAGTTCACGTCCCCGCTCAGCGCATGACCGAGCCGCCTGTAAATTCCGTAGTGAGTTAGTCGATGCCAATTTAGCTTCAGAGGCGGATAGAAAAAGGTGTCTCTTTACTCCCATCTTTAGACTCTCAGAAGTGCTGCCATGTGTTGGTGTTGCCTCGTTAAGGATGCTGTTCATGGAAACAAGTGGGTTCTGTGGACATTGCCATTCTTTTCTCCCCTGGATGCTCAGTGGGAGACAGTAGCATAAGTATGAAGGGTGCAGACTGCGAATGTGTGCCGGGCTTGTGTCATAGTGGAGGCTCCAGCAAACAGACGATGCGTGTGGAGTGTGGGCATGTGCTCACACCCCTCTCGCTCACGGAATGACCACTCGTGCCCCCGTGGAGCGCGGTCCCCGCCCGTATTCCCAGGGTGGCAGCAGTGACCCGGAGCTGCTGCGGCCGGGGCACGCTCTCCGCCATCTGCTCCGGCAGCCGGCACTTCCGTTCACTCGGTGGAGCCTGGGTTAGTGCGGACACTTGCTCCTCTTCCCCCAGCAAAGCCACAGAGGAGACAAGTGCAGCAGGAATGGGCTCTCCATGCAGGTGACTGTGAACAGTCGGCCGAGGGGAAACATCACTAATCACAGCAACCCACAGGGTAGAATTAATACCAAGCACAGGTCACACACACAGAGAATAACACAACCCGCCCCCCCCACACACACACACACACACTCCACATTATTTTACAGCCAGGAGTTCGAGCCAGGGCAGCGGGACCGAGTCACCCTCTTCCCCACAGAGGAAGGTCCCAGGGGAAGTGACCTGCCCAGGGTCACACGGCTGGTGTGCTGTGGAGGTCCTCGAACCTGGGGTTTTATTGTGTTTGTTGACCTAGGACCCTTTCTGGCTGCCCTGTGTGTTCCTCCTTTGCTCAGTCATTCAGAGACATTTCTTAGCCATCAGTTTGTGGCAGGCACTGGGGGTTCAGTAAGGAGCCGGACTTCGGTCTTCAGGGATCTTGTAGCTCCTGGAAAAGACGAGCAGATGACAAAGGTTATCCCAAACGGGGGTGAACCTCTGGTGGCCTCCAGACCTGTTTTACAGTGGGGTCTTGACTTACGAGTGTCCCGACTAAGGACACTCGAGTTTTTCGAGATACGA